ATATGAGCCCTGCACATCACGCCTCAATCTGCTGCTTGTGTCTTCTGTCAGAGGTGCTGCTGAAAATGTTCATCAGGGAAACTACAGGCACTTACAGGCACAACTCACATCACTTTTAGGATTGGAGATATTGCCACACAGCTCTTGTGATCAACATCTTATATCCATACTACAACATTGCAATTCCCAAAAGCACCATCACCTCTATTGAGATAGCATAAAAGCTTATACACGGTCCAGAGAAACTAGAACAACAGCCTTGATTTTAAAACACTAATCCACGCTTTAGAATTCCAAGTTACTTTAAAACGAAGCTCAATTTTGATGCTCACGGAGCAGAACAGTTCAGTACTTGGATCCGAAAGAAAGAGGAAAAGACGCAAGCCTACACCTGAAGAAGCTGACTTGGATCTATACAGATAATGCAGGATATTCCCTTAAGACTTTGGGACAGCAATGCCAACAAAAGCAAAGCCACGTGCCACTCAGGGTTTACAAGTCCCTTTTGGCCGCAGCACAGATTACTGCAGTTAGTTATTTGGCAGCCGCTCTTGCCTTTAGAGCATCACGTCCCATTGAAAAAACGTCCGAGCACCAGGCAGATCAGTTAGGGTGTGCCCGAGGCTCCTCCCCGCCCTACAAGTCCCAGTGCTGGCAGCAGCGATCAGACGGAGGTTGGAAAACTTTTCCATTCACCGGGCCGTTCTCGAAGAGAACACAAACTCCGAGTTCTGAATGGAGCGCAAAGGCTGATTTACGCTTAAAGGGACACTTCCTGCACAGCTAACTCACAGAACGCGATACCGCGTGCTTTAAAAGCTCTCGGGAGAAGAGCATCAAGAACCGCTCCCAAAGCGCACGCTCGCCTTGCAGCACCTCGCTCTCCCTCCTGCTGCCCCGGCACGCCGCCCTTCAGCAGGGATCCCACCCGAGGATCGCACCCCCATGCAGACCCCCCCCCCCCCCCCCCTCCCAGAGCTCCCCAAGCCCTCGAGGTCCCCCTCCCACTCCAGCTCCCCACGGCCTCACCTCGGGCGGCCCCCTCCCTCGGCTCCTCACCCCTCAGCTCAGCAACGCCCCACTCACTCACCTGCAGCCCAGGAAAACGTGGTTGCTCCACAGGACGGACAGCGCCAGCAGCCGGTCGATGGCGGCGCCGGGATAACTGTGCAGGTGGCGGAGGATGAAGCGGCGGCGCGCAGCCCAGTGCCGCTCGCTCTCGCTGTACTGCCGCCACCGCTCCAGCACTGCTTCGGGCACCGCCTCCGCCGGCGGCGGAGACATCGTTCAGCAGACACGGCGGCCCCGCCCCGCCGAGGAGGGAACGCAACCGCCGGGCACGGGGCCGGGCGGCGGCAAAGGCGGCCCGGGTCCGGAGGTGAGCAGGCCCCACGTGCGGCCCGGGCCGCGCCTCGCTGCCGGACGCCGGGGAGCGCCGCCCGGCCCGGCCCGGCCCGGCCTGCTCCGGCCCGGCCCGGCCCCGCCGGCCCCACTCCCCACGGCCCGGCCCCGCGGGAGCACGCTTCCTCCCCCCGCCTCCTTTCTCCACACCGAACCCGGCCCCGCTCTCGCGGAGCGCACCGGCGGCCTCTGTGTCACGTGGCCGCGCGAAACATCGCGAGACGGCACGAGAGCGTAGAGCCCTCCCCACGGCGGAAGGGCGCCGCCCGGCGGCGGGAAGCGTGCGGCGCTCCGTGCGGCTACGCAGAGTGCGCAGCGCCTACGGAGCGGCCGCCTGTCGGGAAGCCGCCGCGCCGCGCCGCGCCGGGCTCACCTTGGGCAGCAGGCGGCGGGCAGCCGGGCAGCGGGCAGCTTACCCCGCGCGACGGCAGAGCGCAGCAGCGCGGGCTGCCGTAGTTGCTGTTCGAAATGGGCCTTACCGCCTCACAGCGGTGCTGTGAGATAACCCCACCGCCCACGTGGGAGCAAGGCTGCTGGGCAGAAAGGGCACGGACACCAGTGAAAACACACAGCTGTGACTTTATTTCTCTGTTAAAATTAAATACTTTGTTGCTGCCACCATCTCACGTCGCACCGTGTTTCACGTTCCTTTAGATTTGCACAGTTCCCCAAACCAACCCAATGACAGCGGATTGAAAATACCCCCCAGCTCCAAGCCCCGTGGAAGCCCGCAACATTTATATTATTAAAGACATAATTAGGAAGAAAAAAAAAATGCTCCTAACAGTATTTGAAAATGTATTAGCTACATCATTAGTCCAAACATCACATCTGTGTTCTCCAAACCCGCGGGTAACCCACCAGCCCCCCGCTATCCTGTCACACAGATCACAGGACACCTCATTTAGATACCATGCAAGTCAGTACAGAGCTTCTTACCCCGACACTAACACTGAAATTTGTCCCCCCCGCCCCAGCCAGAGGACCCCTAACCTCTTCTAGAAGTGGCAATCTTCTCCCTCAGACCCCGTGCAGCTGGCGAAGACAGATTAAAAAAAGCTACAGAGAGAGAAAGGGGAAAAGAGAGAAAAAAAAACAACAGAAGATTAGCAAAAAAGAGAAAGACATTCAAAAAGCAGAGAAAAGAGATGCAACATGAAAACAGCTGACAGGAGAGCGGAACCTCCTTCTGTGAGGTCATGTATCTCATGGCACCTTCATGGAAATCACACAAGTAAAACACTTTTTTTCTTTTAAAATACTTTTAATTGCATTCTAATAAGGCAAATGGTCAGGAAGAACAACCAGTAACTTGCAGTATGGGTTAAAGAAAAAAACCTGCATTAAATGCTTCTTTTAAAAGATAATCTTGAAACCTCTGACTGGTTTTGGAAGGGGGCACTCAATAGTAAAGAATGAAGCAAACCACTCAAATTAGTTTAACTTGCTTTAAAAGAAAAAAAACCCAACACGAGTTGTACAGGAAATAAAACTGTATTCATAGCAAAACTGAGACAACACATTGCAATCAAGAGTTCTAGCTGCCTTGATTGCCCCAAAGAGAAAGGCCAGGCTGCAGCCTGTTAGCATGAGCAGCCAGCCTGCTAACACAAAATGAAGCCTGTGAGGTTTCAGCACCATCCCAAACAACACCTTCCTACAAAAATCCTCAGCAGTGGCTTGCATTACCTATCCTGGCTAGCTCTGACACCTGCTTATCTTTCAAAAACCTCTGGGCTTGGAGGGTTTTTGTTGCAGTTCCAACAGCACACACCCTGATGTTTCAGGACATGTGGATTCCCCCTGCCTGCACACAGTGCAACTGGAGGATCACAACTAGCAAGACTGAAATGGAAACGCCCGTTAAATGCCAGTCTTTACATAGCATTATCCAGAAATAAAAATAGTAAAGGATAAATGATGTCATGAAAATGGCCCCAAGTATGAAGAAAACTTTCTAATCTCTTGACTATTTGATAATCAAAGGTGGTGGTGTCATCTTAACGTCACCAATAAATACACTTAAACCGTGTTGTTATTTTGCCAGCAAAAATAACTCATCTCACAGAACTTATTTTTACGTTTTCTGGATAGAGAGGGACTGAGAGAAAGGGGGAGGCTATTAACTGTATGGATTAAAAAAAAGAGAGAGAGAAATTAAAGCTGCAGTGTCCCAAACTTGTTAGGACTCATTTTATATTATTTAATAAAGCAATAACCACCAGTACATAGTAAGACAAGTTCATAACAAGAGTATAGCAGAGAGCAAGAGTAACACCATGGAAAGGTTACAGCTGAAATGCTGTCACGTTTTATTAGACCCTGTGATTTAACAAGTAAATGAAGGTCCATTCCAGCCCATTGTATTCAGGGATAATTACTCAGTACAGAGCCATGGGTTACTGTAAAAGAAGGGCAAAGAAAACAAAAAAAAGAAAAACAAAAGAAGTAAATGTTAACCAGAATTCACTGTCTGATGAAGGCTTTATTTAAAAAACAAACAAACAACTCATCCAGAAATACACAGCAAAGACACCTGCAGGCAAACTGCAGCTGCACTCGGCCACTGGGTGAACTCCTGGCCCCAAAGAGCAAACACCTCTTTTAGTGCAAATCTTGCATTAGAACAAGGCTTTTGTTGAATAGAAAATATAAGAAGCAACTTGCCAACATCTGCACTCTTCTAAACAGATGTAAAAAAAAAAAAAAAAAAAAAAATAAAGGTGGTACTTTTTGCATTAAACTGAAAAATTTTTGGAATCACTGAGAAGAAAGGCAAAGAAACGTCATCATCTTTCTTCACAGGCACAGTGAAGTTTCTACACAGTGTGTACAGCAAGGTGACCAGCTTTCCCTGAGATTGGATCCAGGATGTGCATCCAGCCCAGCACACTGAGAAGAAGACAAGGCAGGAGATCCTTCGTGACCCCTGCAGCATTCAGAGAACACTTAGTTGCAAACCATGGATCCAAGTCTGAAAAATCTCCCAGGCTTGGGAACTGAGGATTGGATTCAGGCTGTCACGCCTGCGAGGACGTAAAGTTTGGCAAAAAGTCCTTTCAGATGATTTGATTTGCACATGACAGCGCAGCAGGGCAATGATAGGTTAGCTACTGCAAACTAAAAGGTGAGAGGGCAGCCCATCTCTGGACACCACCGCACCGCGTTGCGTTTGCAGTCGACCCCTGGTGGCACGAAAAGCACGCGGCTGAGCAGCTGCTGCCACCATGCAGCCTGGCACAACACGCAGGGGAGAGACAAAAAGCTGGTAACTGAGAAGTGGTGATGCTACAAGCGCCTGGCAGCTGCTATGGACCAGAGGGGGAGTTATCAGCCACAAGCATCTCTCGCCAGTTCCACAGAGGCTGTTGCTGAGTTCTTCACAGAAACAACTGTAACCCAGAACAGCCAAGGGTGCGGACTGTGGCTTAGAATAGACTGGTGAGCACAGGAAGGGAGCAATGAGTAAAGGTGAGCAAACAGGCACAATGGCATGGCTGCGTGTTAACCGAATGTGGGGGCATTCGCTTCTGGTGCGAAGGGAAAGGTTCTACAGGAAACCCGAACTGAAAATGAAAGAAAAAGGCAGATTAATGGTTTTATGGATTAATGAAAAAAAAAACACCAACAAAAAAACACAAATATGCTTCCTAACACACACACACAAACAGGAAATGTTGCTATGTGTTAATAAAGTTTAATTTGACTACAAAACATGCTTTATGCAGACACACACACACACTCAGCAGTGGGATGAACCACATTGCTTCTCTAAAACAATCCTTTCACAGTTTTTGCAAGCTACAGAACTCCTCAATGGTGACTTATTTATACCCTTGCAAAACACTGGGGCCTGCAATACTGTATGGATCAATATTGAGAGTATTATTCTGAATTCTGAAAAAGTACCATGTATACATATTTAATTCAACTAGGACAAATGCCCATTGAAAAAGGCACTGTCTGCATTTGTACAGTGGAAACAAAGATCTTTATTTGATTCCAAGCCTAACACACAACAGTGTACAGTTACACGGGCTGCCAAAAGCAATCCAATCCCAACAGAAATCAGTAATGTTCACTCTCAACTGCACTTTAGCTGTGCCTTCATACTCAGCACCAGAATGAACACTGATGTTCTTTGAGTTTATTTATCCACATTCAGACCCTGGAAGGCACAGAATTGGTCTTTTCATTGTATTACAGTTATGCTGGCAGCAGAGGCATTCATTCTACCAGACTGCTCAAGACGACAGCAGTGCAGGACCCTTCTGAAGCTCTTCTGCCCCATTGAAATTGAACTCAAACACCTCTCACTGACAGCATAACGTGTACTCGCTTTTCAACTTCTCTTGGTGGAGATAAGAGGTATGGAATTGGCTAATCAGCTGTTCCCCACTTGAGGGCAGACCACAAGATAGTTAGGATTCTGTCTGATAGCAAACGTAAATCCTAGGTTTGTGTGCAGGGAAAGCTGGCCTAGAAGCTGAGTTGTCAGGATGTTTTATAATTAAATGCTGCTGCTCCAACATATCCCACCTCAGGGAAACCTGTGCTCAGGCTGGGGATGCTGCTGTCCTCATACTGGGTAATAGATACTGTTGCTCTGTCAAGAAGCAAGACATTCCCTTAAAAGCTTTCCCTCTCCTCTCACCAGAGAATCAACAGCAAATTAAAAAGGCTCATTTAAAAACAATCAGCACAGCTGTAAGTAACCCACTGTCATTAGCAGTTTAGCTAATAATGATGCTTTCCTGCCAGGCAGGTGCATTTCTTAGACATCCTTGTTTAAATTAGCCTTCACTTTGCACTTCCCACTGCAGATGCTTATTTATGGCTATGTTTGTAAACCCTTTCAGACACCCTTCTCTGTTCGACAAGCCTGCCAATGACTATCTAGTCATTTCATATCCCTACTAATGTGGAGACAAAGACACTCTGGACAGACTCACAGTGGGACCCTGCTGACAGAGCTCTGCTTCAGTGGCAACCCTCTGTGCCCTGGCAAAACTCATCAGAGACTCAGATGCTGGCCTCAATCGGAGGCAAAGCGCTCTGGCAGGCTTTCTGGCCACAGCTTGAGCACAGCCCTCTCCTTCCACTAGCCTTACCCAAACCACACACACTTGGCATGACTCCAGACATGTGCCTGCTACAAGTGAATATCCATCCACAGGGCAGCCCGCTGCAGCACTGAAAATGTCATAAAGTGTCTTAGTCTATGTTCAGAGCTTTCCGTTATCTGCTGAACACTCCACATCTCTCATGATTTTAGAAAATCAACTACAGTCAATCGACAATACTCACACACTCTTTCTCTGGTGCTTTAGGATAAATGAAAACTCTAGTTTGGGCAGACTTTACCATCTGTTGGGAGTGGAGGAAATAGAAACTAGTTTGTATCCTGCACTGTAACCAAGCTAACCCTGTGACTTGAAGGGGTGGGAGCAAAGGAAGGAGAAGGAAGGAAAGAGATTTGCAGGCTAGCTGGGCTCCATCATCACATCTCCATAGCAATTGTTGCCATAGTATCGACATGGCCTATGTGATTAAGAATCTCATTTATTTCTGAGGGAGTCAGAAAGATAGAGACAGCAAACTGCTGGAAACATTTATAAGGAAGAGGGCCTAATCCTTATCTTTCCACATTTAATGTCCAGATATTGATTCCATCTGCATTTAACTCTGCCACATTTTTGAAGACACGCTTCATGGCATCCTTGTTCTACAGCTTTCTATAGAAACAGAGTGAAAAGCCCGTACAGTAAAGGTGAAAGCAGAATAAGACAGAGATGATAACACTTAGAGGCTTCTGGAGTTGCATAGGGTCTGCTTTTTCAGGAACTGTAACTGATCCCACTGTGAGGTCTATATATGTTAATGACGCTTACCAGGACAACGTGCCTCATGCACCATGCAGCCAAACAGCAGTTAACTGTAAAACAGCATACATGTAAGAGCTAATGATGATGATGATGATGTAAAAATAATAAAAAGAAACCAAGCCATGATTAGTGCAAACTACTGAGCTTTGGTCAAAAAGAGTAATCTGTGAAAGAAAAAGACTACTGTACTGCCAGCCACTATTGAACAAGACACAGTTAAGCTACTGGCTTGTGAAATTCATGGATTGTTATAGAGATTTATGATCTAAACATAAAAATGAACCATTAAGGGCAACTGGAGAGGTTAGAGTGAAGAAAGCTCTGCCATTTTTAACACTGTTGCTTTCCAGGAGGAGGGAGAGACAACCTAATTTCTTCCCAAGCCTGAATCAAGCACTGATCTACCACTTGCACAGAGTTCACCCTGCCCCAGCATTAATCAACAAGGATGGTACCAGTGCATTTTCATAGGAGTATGTTTCATGTCAGGAGTGCTTCTGAGACCAGAACTGCTTCTAGGAACAAGTATGTGACTTGGAGCACAGCTACTGAGTGCTCATAGTAAAGGGCATGTCATCTCCCTTCTGGGCATTCCTGACCTGGACTAATCTCAGCTCAGAAGTCTGCAGTCCTCAGTATGCAGACATCTGAGAGCTGTAAGCATGAAAAAAACACAGCTGTGTACTCCTCCCAAAGGCTGGGGAGAAAAGTCTGGCCCAGTTAGCCTCAGGCTCCTCAGTACAAAAGCACATTAAAAACCCCTGAAGGCAATTCAAAAAGGCAAATCAAAATACGCACTGGAAAAAGGAATGGACAAGTGAGAAAAGGGCAGGAGCACTAATTGCTCATTGCAAAAGAATGTTGACACTGTAGCAGTTCCAGCTCAAAACTAAAATGACTAAAACAGGATCTGATTCTGGTTGTTGGGTCTTTCCTGTCTCACTTGATTCCAAGTATAACAGTTAAGGGTTATTTTTCCTGACAAGCAGTCCTCTCAGCTATCTGGGCATGTGCCATATTCTTTATATTAACAGCAGTTCCCCATGTACTAAAACTGCCTTGTACAGGCAGGATCTACTATGGATTTGCTTCATGAATGTGCAGAGAGGGGATGATACAACAGTGGTATAAAAAACAGACACTCATCTATCTGCACGCTGCTCTTTGTACACATGCTAAAGTGGGACAGCCCTCCGTTTCAGATTATGTACCACTTCTCATTGCTAGGTAAATCAGCTGCACAGCTGGGTTGCTATTGAGGAACCACAGAACATTAAGATATCCCAGAGCATGAGACACTGACAAGGGGCTGCAGATCCTGTCACGCCATTCCCTTGCATGGGGAACCCTTCTAAACCTGTGCATTATCTCTCACTGCTCCTGGGAAGGTCAAATTTTGGTATAAGGCTGTAGAGACTACTACTGCTTTCAGAGACTTACTCTTTGCAGATTCAAGAATTCAATACTATTATGTTCCCTGAACAATTTCCAAAGCTTTTTCTAAATCTATTCAAGACCCTAAAATAGGACACACTCCTCTCTAGGTAGCAGGATACTCCTGCTAACCACACCTAACCTCCTACTTCCTTAGAGACACTGACAGACCAAAGGAAGGGCAGGGAATCCCAGTAAACTGAACAAAGTTCATTCTCTTCCATGCTGTCAGCAAACAGTAAGGGAGGCTGGTACTGTGCTCCCTGCTCCTGAGGATGACACGTGGAGCTAAAATACATCCAGCTACCACTCAGACTTACTAGGGATTGTATCTGTCTGCAGACCTTCCTCTGATAAGGACTGGCTAGGTTGGGAAAGAGATACGAATACCCAGAAAATATTAAAAGAGCAGCAAATACCATCAGGTTAACAACTTACTTTTTTCTTTCCTTATCTCTCTTAAGAGTTTGTGATCCTCCAGCCTGCTGAGCCTGAGATTGGAGCAATTCAGCTGCTGTCTTCCTTTGTTTAAATGCATTAACTTCATCATCCAAAGATTTCTTCTTATCCTCCAGCTTCTTTTTTTCATCCTGATGTAACTTCTTCAGACGATCAAACTTTTCATGGAGCTAGAGAGAAAAGAGAGAGGTGAACTCTACCAGCCACTCTGTTCACAGAAGAAAGGCAGAGGATTCTCATGAGATCTCAGCCCACAAATCTCTGTTGGACTTTACATTGTTTCTTGCACCCTGACCAACAATGCATAGACAAAGGGCAGGAAAAGTCTTCTTCCAAAGCATCCTGCACAACAAGCACTATTCTAGTGAGGAACCAGTGCACAGACTAACAGCAGAGGACTGGGAGAGCATAATCACTAATAAATAAATAATCAATCCACTTCATTTTCTTAACAGAGTTGTTGGCCTTATTTCTTTTAAAATGCAGTAGTGGGTTTTCATGCCCCTCCCCAGCTCTAAGAAAGTTGTATGGGTATAATTTTTACATTACAAGCTTGTATCAGGGGTTCCGTTTCTCTCCTTGAATTTTGGCATGCCAAAGCTGTCAGTCAGAATCAAAGTATATGGCACTTTCATGGCACACTAAGCTGCACAAGGCAACCTTACAGGACAAGTACATTAATGTACCACATTAAACTTTAGTTGTTTTTGTTTGTTTGTTTGTTAGTTCTTAATAAACTAACTTTAATAAACTAAACTTAAACCACACTGCAGGTAGTGTGTGTGGCAGCAGCTGCCTACTTGGAAGTATATCATGCATAACCACAAAGAGACAAGTACTGTACTGCTCACCTCTTTTTCAGCTTCCTTCAGCTCTGCTTCTTTTTCCTTGACCCTCTGGACAAACATTTGCCTCATTGCCTCTTCCTTTTTTTGCAGTTCACCCAGAAACTCATTTCTTTTGGCCTCATAAGTTTCCTGCAAGCTAAAGAGAAAGAAAAGCCCTGTGATACAACTGAAGACAAACTCTACTTTCCCCAAGTCTCTCAAATCAGGCTTTCACCATGAATACTGCTTTCCTACCACCCACCCATGTATGCTCAAAGTCACTTTATCCAATCATTTCCAAGGTATGTAAGCTGTTGTACTTTCCCTATATGCTGAATGTTGGGCAATTCAGAGAGACCAGCTGGCAACAAACACTCGTTCAGATGGGCACCTCAGTATCCCTGCAGCACTGACACTGTTACGTCTGCCATTTCAGTCAGTCCTGCAAGTGCTCTCTGTGCTTTCACCTTCTCCCCCTCAGCCAACACCTTTGCTGAAGTCTAGATTTATCTGACCTGGCAGGTTTTCTTGCCACATTGGTTCTTTATATGCTCTCCCGAGGACACACACAAACACTCAGTGCATCCAGCAATGCTTCCTCCCTCAAGCTCTCCTTCCTACTCCAGGGGTCCCACCTGAAGGGCTTGCTGTCTGGATCGGTGTCCTTGAAACCCATCTCTTCCAGTTTACACCTCCGGTACAGCTCGTAGTGCCGTGTGTGGGTCTGCTCACGAAGGTCTTCCATGTTCACACGGATCAGCATCTCCCGCAGCTTCACAAAATCACAGTGAGCTTCGTTCTCCACTGTAAGAAGACATTAAAGGTAAGAAACGGGTAGAAACAAAGGTCTCTTCTCACATTCCCCGCTGGGCCACTCCCCCAGTAGATTTAACAGCCCTTCTGAACAGAGGACACTGCTGCTATTGTCCTGACGCAAGGATTTACCATTACAAGGACACAAAGGATAACCTCCAAGAGAAATTAAAGTCCAGCAGGTCCCTGCTCCTCTTACAAGAGCGAGTCCACTGCCTCCTGGTGGAAACGTCACCATTCATGTCATGAAATTTTCACGTCTTGACTCACCCTGCACTGTGCCCCAAGGGTACTGACGAGCTTTCATCATTTTGTTTCCTATTTTCAACTCCTCCGTGCTCCCAATCACTGCAAACGGCAAGTGGGCCTGGAACACATTTAATACAACCTTTGTTAGCTGGTTGACTGGATAGCACACAGAGATTAGCACAGACACTGTGCAAGACACTCATTACACACACGCTAATCTTGGGGAGTCTAATCACTGGCTGCTAGCCCAAGACAAGGGGGAGAAGGGAAGGTCCTTTGTGGAAACCTTGTTAGTGCTACCACTCTATGTCCTCTACCTGGCTGATCCTCCCAGCCACAGGGTCTCAGGTGAGATGAGCCAGTGCAAAACTAGCATCAGAGTGACAGCTGGAACACAACGCTGTGCGGCTCTGCCTGCGGCGCTGTCCCAGGGGCTTGCGGTGGCTGAGGAGAACATCTGCACAAGCACAGAAGCAATAAACAAGCCTTTTTTTTTATCCCCCTCCCACTCCCTCAGCTCATACCAGAACACAAGATAACTTGCTCTATCCAATCAGAAAACTGAAGTCTCTCCTTCTACCCAGATTAACAGGTTTTCTCCCTGCTTGCTTCGTCCCTGCACTTTATCAGCTTCTGCATCCACTGTTCAGGTCTGCCGTTTAGGTCTGCTGCTGGCTGAGCTGGGAAGGACCCTACATTTGCTGAGCTGCAGTGAGCCTACCCAGTACTGATACCAGCTGGCGCTGCCCATAGCATGTGCTGGGGCTCACCCTCACTGCTCCTTTATCAAAACAGCATCTTTTCTCAGGTTCTGAAAAATCCAAAGGCATGTTGATGGCTTATAAAGTCCTTGTGATACTGATGGCTGTACAGCAAGAGGGCAAAGGAGGCTGAATCGAGGGATCATAGTCACAAGAAGGGACCATGAAGAGAGCAGAGCACAGCTGGTACCACTAACTCGACTGTGTCTCGCTACTCTCTTTAAGCCAGGCCACACTCCATAAGAGACAGTTGTTTCCAGTACCTGATGCTTAGATACAAGGAGGAATTTGCTTGTTGTGACCCAGAAACACAGAATAGTCACTTCTATGTAAAGAAGGTTCTTCTCCTGTTCTGTAGAGAGGTTAAGAGACTTTCCCAGTACAAATTCAGCCAGGTTGGAATAGAACTGCTCCCAACACCTCAGCAGAGCTCACCCCTCATTCCCCAAACTCAGGCGAGAAAACCCCATCTCTGCTATCTTTGCTGCATTTGTCTGTTGTGCAATACATGAGGTCTCTCCCCACCTCTGCCTGCTCCTGGGAACCATACAGCCTTCCTCCAAGCTGCAGAGAAGTCGACTGCAAGGTTTCAGTACTTAAAAATAAAGCTGCCAGCTCCATGCACTCAACCCTTCTGCTGAGTTCTGTGCAGAGACATTTGTTAGCTGGGGCCTTTAAACTGTGCTTGGTTCTGGGCAATTAAAGTGCCTCAGGTTGCCAATGTATGGAAGATCAGTGACCCCAGATTGTTTACAGAAGTAAGTAGAGAAGTTTTAATTTCACAGGTGATCTGAAATAACGGAGAAGTGAGTAACAGGACAAGAAAAAGATTTCGGGGTGTTTTCTACTTTCAGAGTGTGACTCCTGCAGTCAAATAGCAAAGCTGCCTGCAAGCACTCTCAAAGATGGGCTCTTCAGCTTTTATTGCCTGGCCTCACAACTCTCTCACGAGGGACACAACAGTACAAGTAGGGCTTAGTGGTCAGTCTGGAGGGGCTGTTCTGGGCTGTGAGGAGGCCCTGAGCACCGCAGTCTCCTGAGGCACCCTTCACACAGTTACTTTTACAATCGTGTTGACATGCCAGCACATGGAAGGATGAGTGTCAGCACAGAGCTAGGCCTATTCTGCTAGAGGTTCACCTACCAGTACCAACTGTTCAGCTGCTGTTTTTGCTAGGCAGAAAGTGCTGGTGATTTCCTTTTCTAAAAGTAAGTTCCAGCTCCCACCATGTGGAGCAGACAGCTCATATAGTTGCACATGGCTTCATTTAACTACCAGGTGTAGGGAGAATATATTCTGCAGTAATTAAATGAATTCATTCAAAATGGAAAAGCCAGCTGGGAGCTGAAAGAATAGCAGAGATTGCTTTTTGTATTATGATTTAAGAATAAAACCTGGATGGGAGGAGATCCAAAGCATTTTGGAGAGTATTTTCAAGTGCTCTCTACATCTCTTGTAAACATACATACAGTGAGGTGCTCAAAAAGACCAAATTGATTTCAAGCAAAATCAGGCATCTTGTTCTGAAGATTTGTTTAATCCAACTGGTATCTAAATACTGCACTTGACACCTTTGTTCCTAGCTAAATACTTCTTCTGATCAGAATGGCACAGATTTTGTATCTTCATTTCTGTCATATCAGGCTGTTTCCTCTTTGTTTAGTAAGTCAACTCTGAACGCAAAATACTCTGAAAAGAATTCCTTATGCATCAGTATAATAACCTAGAATGCATATTAAGTAATGAGTTTGCATATTTTAAAACCTAATTTTACTTGTCATAGTAAAGATAATCAAAGCAGGTCATAAGCAAAACATTAACTAATCAAGAGATCAGTCTCAATTTTCCCTGCATTAAAAAAAAAAGAAAAAAAAGAAGAGGTAGCTGATGTAGAATGTTTGCTGCTCAGCAAGAAGCACAACTTGAGCATTTATAACCTTTCAAAGACATTAATCTGTAACAGACAAAGACAATGAAGCTTTCTGTAGAAAAGCACAAACACAAAGGTGAGGGCAGCTGGCAAAATTGAAGTTTGCTGTTCAATTTCAAGCGTGATTAAAACTGGCAGTTTAAGTTACAGACCTCATGCATTCCACCCTAGCTCTTTTACTGCTCTCAGTCCCTCCACAAACACATCTCCTGACCTGCAGCATGAGTAGATTTGTTTTCTGTAAAATTAATATCTAGATACAAGTTTTGCAGGTCTGCAAAAGAGCCTTGACTTCATTCAGGTTCTAGCCTGCCTCGTCCCCATAAATCTGGTGTATGATCACGGCCAGAACCACTGATTGATCACCTGGGGAAAGGACTGGGTCAGCCCTGGGAGCACAGGAGAAAGCAATTCAGCTGTGTGACAGAAAGGGATGGAGCCTGGCTGCACCCCTCTTAGACCCTATTTAAGGGCTGACTGCCACGGGGGAAGGATCTCTGGTTGGAGATCCCCCCACTGTGGAGTCTTTCCTGCAAGCCCAGATCTTCAGAGATGGGTGAGCATCTTTACTTTCTCTTTGAAATACCATCCTATCCATGCTGGTCCCTTTGCTGTTACAGTCCTATGTTGCCCTTCCACTGCATTAATCTTTTTAACTGTAACACCTGGTGATCATGATTTGCATCAGTTTAACAGAGGATTTAAAGAGCTGATCTCTCTGTGCATCAGTTGATACAACCCAGAATGCCTACAACAGCATCATATATGTTTTCTCTTCCTACTCTGAGAGTGACCAAAAGCAGACATTTGGAAAAGAGAGAGGCCACTGGGAGAGAAAACACCCATCAAGGATAACAAGGCTGTTTGGTGTGAAAAATGCAGAGCATAGAACAGAGACTACAGACAGTCTGCTCACTGCTGCAGACAGATAATATTCATCTGATTATTCACAACACAGGACTGGCCATGCCCAGCATGGCCAGACTTCACCATCTGTCCAATTCCCTGCACGAACCTCAACACTTATGCATTAAGACAAAGAAGGGGTTAAACTCCATCTGCTTTCTGACTAGAAAAGCCTGCCAGAGAGCCAGTAGCCTTCCTCAAGGCTCTGCTAGCATAGGATGACACTACAAAAACATGATCCTCTGTTCTTAGGAGACAAAATAAAAGGGAAAGTAGAATTAAGGAACATTCTCCAATATAGGCCACCACCCCTACAGTGACAGACCTGTTCTGAGAGAGCAGGAAGCAGAGTCACTTACATTCATTGTTCCATTTATCTCTGCCACTGATTCATCATCTGTTGGGAACTGGTAGATCTGAACCCCGTTACTGACCAGTTCACTTGTGATCTTGATTTTAAACTTGGTCAGCTCACTTTTGGAAATGGCATCAGATTTGGCAATTATCGGAATAATGTTGACCTAGAGAGAAACAGAGAGGTAAGTCCTAAGGTTGGCTCCAGGTAGTTTTTCCAAGTCTGTAGTACAACTTACAAAAACTTAAAAGCACTCAGTAAGTCTAATGGATGCATCTGCCAACGGGGCCATAGCATAAGGGCTATGCAGGTGGAGAGACAAGCCCTGGAAAAGCAGCAGCATTTCCATCACGTACACAGTGACCTGCACAGTAACAGTTAAAATTGCCTACCTTGCTGTCAAGCTTCTTCATTGTTACCAGGTCCAAGGATTTCAGTGAGTGGCCTGTCGGAGCAATGAAGTACAAGCAAGCGTGGATCCGGGTGTCATGGTAATTATGCAAGACCCTCTTTATCTTCAGTTCTTCTTGCAAGTAGGCTTCAAACTGAGCATCAATGAACTCAACAATGGGCTTGTAGCTTTGACGAAAGGAAAAAGATTTTTACATCTCACAGAGGTTAACCACCTCTACTCCATTGCTAGCTTTTTAAAAAAGAGCTGCTGCTTAGCTATTCACTTCCCAGGACCAATTCTCTCAATCTCCCCTCCTCCTCACCCATATGAAATATAAATGTTGCACCACTGACAAGAAGATGTGGTCTTGCATCAGACTCCATCAGCCTGTTTGACAATTCAGCAGAGAGGAGAAACACTACTAACAGGGGCTACAGAGGCTGTGGGTTACTACAGACTAATCTCCTCCAGAGAAAGTGGCCTCATACTTCAAAATGTGAGAGGGAGAGATGCTTTTCAAAGGAAAGGTAAAGCAGACTCATTGGCAGCAGTGTGTAACTCTCGCTTGCACCCAGGGAATGAATGGCTTTCTGCTCTCACAGTCCCAATTCCTACAGGTGAAAGATGCATCTCCATTCACTACTACCTTTGCCCGGTGTTCTAAGGCAGAAAAACCCTGCAACTTCCTTTCCAAGTCCATCTGAAATACAGAGCTTGTCAGACTTGCAATGCAAAGAACATCAGTGCATCTTAAAACTAAAATGAGAATCCAACAGACCCACAACAAAGCAAACTCCATCACAATGCCTCTGTGAAGATGGACATTAGAGAGGACCTGGTGGAATTACACACTCCTTCACCACCATGCTCTGGTCCTGCTGGGACATGAGCTGCCAGAGATACTTCCCCAGATTACATTTCAATGATTACTCATCATGCTTCCACAGGCGAGATGGAAGAGTGGCCTGCCAGAAGTGGCCATTAAACCAGTCACTGGTCCACACCAGATGTTTGGTTGCAAGTTTGCATTCAGTACAGCACAAGGCAAAGAGCACAGAAATGCCCTGCAGCATTTCAGCAATCCCCACCAGATGAACTTGGGCAGAAGGCTACCAGCGGGCCAGATATTGTTCTGACAGCGTAACAAAAGCTGCTCTGATAGCTGCAGCAGTGATGACACACCACAGCCTCTCTCCTCTTTTCTCCCTGTCCCATCCCCAAAAGATGACATGGGCAACTTATAAGAAGGAAAGAGGAGAGCAGAGTCTGGCCCAGCTAGGATACAAAAGGAAAGCCTGCATGAGTGAACTGGGTCATGCTACAGCGTCTCTGCCTTTCTCTTACCTGTCCTCTTTGTTGATTTGATCCCCAAAGCCCACTGTGCTTACAATAGTCAGTTTGAGGTTGACGTTGCTCTCTTGCAGGTCATAGGTACTGGATTTCAGCTGGACCCCAGGCTGTGAGTGAGATGCTGGGTCACCTTCAAATTTGGTGTTGAAAAGCGTGTCCATGAGAGTGGACTTACCAAGGCCAGTTTCCCCTGTTGGAGAAAAAGAGAGACAGAATGTTTTGTTGAATATTAACATGGCTTGCCCTTTCAGTAAACCCTGTTAATTCAAACACTAACAAGGGTGAAACTGTAGCAGATGAAAGCAGATCTCATGCTCCGAAGGGATTGTCTGGCAAGCAGAAAGGCATGTACAATGGGAGGTCTGTATTCTGGGCAAATTACATTTCACAGTCTAATGGCCATTAATATCACAAGAAAAGAGAGATGAAAAGAAAGAGTTGAAAAGGCAAGGGGGAAAGCATCACTCAAATCCTGCAGATACCCATAATGCACTAAAGAAGATGCTGCTTTCATCAGTAGGCAAGGAGAGGAAGGGAGAAATGGGGCCCATGGCCCCTTCTTAAAACAGATGCTCCAGGTTAGTATTTCTGTAATTAGCAGTCACTAAAATAGCTTGCTTCAGTACAGAAACACTGAGTCGGTTCCTACCCTACAGCAAGCTGTGCAGTTGGTTTCTTGTACCCACAATATGCTGAGTTGGGGGACAGCCTTCTAGCCTGGGGAGGGGCATTTTCTCTTATATCTCATTTCCATACACCTAGGGGCTGTGCAACTTACACTCAAAAATCTGCTTCTAAAAGCTCTGCAGCACTGAACTGTTATTTGGATTCCATCTATCAACAGAGAGCTGTTTCCTTATCTGGCGTGAACAGACAAATCTGAGAGACCAGTCTTAAATTTGTTTTAGATACATCCCATGGAGAACAAAACAAACCTCCATTGCGCTCATTCCACAGGGCAGCCTCCCTTGCCACACTGACAGCAGAGCCAGCCCTCCAAGTCCACAGGATCTGCCTTTGCACTACACCTATCAGCAGGCTGCCCTGCTGCCCTGGGAGGACCACTGTGTTTTGGGGAAACCATGATTTCAGAGCTGCTCTTCTGGCTTTTGGTGTAACTTCAGCAGGCAGCTGAACCCCACCCACTGCTCCAGGCCCACCAGGGGGCTGCGTCTCACTGAAGCAGCCTTCCCTCCTTCCCTAAGTCTTGCATCCAACAAAACCATCAATATTTTCCTACTTCACTCAGAAGAAAAGAGCTGCTCGTTTTCATAGGCTTCAAGCTCTGCAATAGATCCAAAGTTGCATGAAATGCCCAATTCAATAAGGGGAAGCTCCTCCCCTTCCTCCTCCATCCAAATCCCTGTGCCTCACCCCTGCAAGCAGGCAAATTCCTCTCTGTTGGTCCGAGAGGAGACTTCTCCAGCCCGAGGCTGAAGCACAGGGTAGCGCAAAACTCCATTGCCCTGGGAACTGCACACCATCTGACTGCCTGGACTGAATATCAGTTTCCAGAAGGCAGCAAGAAAGTCAACAGACACCTTGAGCTGCAAAGGCGCCTGGGGAGCCAGCCAGCAGCCAGTGCCACACTGTGCTAGGTGCAAACCCGGTGGCTCCTCACACTGACCTGTCTACAGCCCCAGGGGGAGAAGAGTCAGCACCAGCAGTGTGAGTTGCTGCAATCCCACCCTGTTTGGGATGTAAGGGTACCACTTTCCACCAGTGGGTGCACAAAGCATGGAGCACTGCTGTGGTTTGGGTAAGGATTTCAAGAGTTAACATGAGAAAGCCTGCATGACCTCACCAGGCCTTTCTCAGGGATTCCAGGAAAACAGCAATGTAAAAAAAAAAAAAAAAGACACAAAAAAACACACCCAGACAGACATCTAAACAGCTTGAGAAGGCGGCAGCATTTCCAGAGCTCCTGCCAAGGGTTCCTGCCTGGGCGGGCAGGATGGAGCAGGGAGCCAGCTGCATAGATCCCCAGCGGGCTCCTGGGGACAAGGCAGCTGCTCTCCTGCCCTGCACTCCATCCCACAGGCAGCAGCCCCACACCCAGCCCTGTGGCTGCTGACAGCATGACAGAGGTGCAGCATGACAGAGTGGGGCTGGGAACTGCCCTCTGCAGCCAAGACATGAGGTCCCTGTGAATGGCAGGCAAAATACACTGAAAACTGCCCCTTATTTCTGCCTCCCTCCTCCTTTAAGATGCAAAGCATCCACCTGAGGACAAGACAGACACATTCAGATACATCTCCCATCTCTTAATTGTTGCCTACTTTAAACCAATTTCACATCTGGTTTTCAGCAGCAGCAGTGCAGCAGAGATGGAGGCAAATGCTGAAGATAGAGTACATCTTTATACTCCCATCTCCTGCATGCTACACAGGGCCAGCAAAGGTGACTTTGAATTCAAGAAGTTTTCCTTTTGAAAGGGGAATTTCTAAACTGCTAAGACATGACTGCAGAGGCAACAGTTTCCCACCCAAACACCTACAGCTCCATGTATAGAAAGCAGAACGCCCAGCCACCACCACAGCCAGGTCAGCATGCGCATTCCAGCCGTGTACAAAGAGGGCTCTGCACTGTGCGTCCCGCTGCCCAAGAACAACTCAGCCACAGAAACCATGGCACTGGCTCCAAGAGCATGATGTGAGACAGTATCAGGCTGAATGAAGTGCTCTGCCATGTGAAATGCAACTTGGAGCAGTGCTACTCTGAAGGGCAAACTGACAGAACAGAGCATTTCCGAGCCTCCCAGGAGTTTCTGCCCGAAACAGAGGCAGCTCCCTGCTGGCTAGGAGATGTAACCACTGCCAAGTGCTGCTTGGAAGGATGGGAGTCCAGATGGAACAGATGGGCTGATGAAAAGGACAAGGCGACTGCACTCGCTCCAGCCAGCAGCGCTGGAATCTTCTCCAAAAACCAGAAATGATGAATGGGGATTAAGGGAGGCAGATTTACCATGGAAAAAGCAGCAGTGTATGCAAATCAAGCAAGAGACGTCCTTGGCAGGGAGATTATTGCCTGATGTCAGGCTTAGATTTGATCTCCAAAACTGTACTTAAGCATTATGCAACCTTGCAGCAGTCTGCTCTCCAGGCTGGCAAAGTGCTGAGGACAGACAAGGTAGGAATGGTGACCTTTATTGTTAACTCTGCGCCAGAAAGCTCTGGCAGCCATTGAAACCCAGTAGCACTGTGCCTTCTCAGCATGGGGCAGATTTTAGGGCAGCCAAGCCCTGGACATGGGGCACCGCTGCCAAAGCACCCTGCAAGCTAAACACCACTGCTGCAAAAGCTGAACCTCTTTGGGTCTGGTGATTCGACCTGCTTTCCCCCAGCAAACAGCTGCCTGCTGCCCCTCCACCTCCAGGCTTCAGAGCCCCAGTTGTGTCACCCTCAGCCCGCTCTCCAGGAGCACACAAGAGCCCTCAGAGCACTCAGCTGTTCAAAAGCAGGGAGCGTTTGAACCCCTGCAGAGTCCTTTCAAGAGAGAGCAACATTTGCTCTTCCCCAGACTGACAACCACGGCTCCAGATATCAAATAATGCCATCTTAAAGAAAACGTCTATGTGTGCACAGCCCTTTCATGTGAAGAAATGGGAGCTAATCCAATGTAGCAGGTTTGTCAGGACGAGCCCTGAGGCAGCGCAGCCTGATAAGGCTGTCTCTCAAGGAGAGCAGAAAATAGTTCTTCTCATCTGACAGGCGGAATGGTGAGGCAAAGCCAGGCTGCCAGGGGCAGGAACACGGGTCCACAAATGATGCTGAAGAGCTACAGAGGGCCCTGCGGCCTCCCAGCTGCGCTGCTGCTGCACAGATCTGTGGCTCCTCAGCTGGAGAAATTCTGTACTCAGCTGCTTGCACTACCGACTACAAAACCAATCACTTGGCATCCTCCAAGATTCCATCTCATCACCCCACAGCGAGCTGCTGCTGGAGAGCAGATGGCACGAGGAAACCTGTGCACAGCCCTCCTTTTCCCAGCCGATGAGTGCTCCCACATCTCCAAGCTCCTTTGGAGACCCAGCGTGGGGCTGAACGTAATGCATGGTGAAATAGTCTGGCTGGGGTGGTAATTCCAGCACAAACTGAATGCTGGGAAGTAATAAGCCAGAAACCATTGTGTCCAGTCTGGGAGCTACTGAGTATGCAAAGGAAAGAAGGAGAAAAACAGGAATCATTCTTTGTGAGAGGCCTCAAAGCTGTAGCATACCTCTGGGAAACGAGAAGGTAATTTCTACAGCAAAACAGTGGTTTCTCACGGCACTGAGTAGGCTGCTTAGCACAAATCCCTTGCAAATTCCGGGAGGGAGGAAGGAGGAAACTCCTGCTTATAATGTGATGCTAGTCTAATACAGCTATGATCTGGCCAAAACGGAGAAAATTTACCAAATGAAAACCTCAGCTCGTTGTTCCCGTCTCTTTCCACCATCTCATCCAGCACAGAATGTCTCAACCATCAAAGACTTCCCCAGCCTTTGTACTGAACTAACGGATGAACATTTCAGCACAGAGGCTTCAGGAAGAAAATGGCTGTGCTGAGGAATATCAGAGAAACCATCCACAACCCCTAACTTCTGAGAGCTTTGCTCAGCTGCTCTATCTTTGGCTCTTGTCTGACAGAGGAGACAGCTTTCAGCAGGAGAACAGCTAAAAATTGCTCTAATCTGGACGCTCTGCTGAGAGCCATTTTTGCAGCTTTCCTTGGCTCCTCCAGCAGGAGCTGGAGGAATCAGTGGCTCAGCTCCAGCATGGCGCAGAGTAAAGCTGTCACTGGATTCTTCCCCTGACAAACACCACACACAGCTGAAAAACAGAGAGAACCAAAGTGCCCTTCTGTCACGTTCAGCAGCCTATGTCATCAGTTCACTTATTTGCTGTTTTGTTGGCCTCAAGCCTCATTTGCTTTATGTTGTTTCAGTTCTTCACCCCAAACTCAGGCTGCACAAGTGAGACCCAACAGTCTAAATGAAAGATGGATTCCGGGAGCTTTTTTTTTTTTTCTTTCTAGGAGTTTAACTTTGTTACCACAGTTTCAAAGAGGCTCTGCTAAGCCACCTTAAAGTAGGTGTCTGTCAACTAAACATTTGCAAATCTTTTTTTAAGGGAGTTCATTACATTTTTCTATGTAATAAACTCTCCTCTTTATTTCAGACTCAACCATGTCTGTGTTGCTACTATTCATAAAAGATTGACATTAATAACTAATGCATATTGATCTTGGCAGGTCTTTGTTACTCAGAGGGACAAGCAATTACTGCATTCCAATGCTGCTCTGCAAAGAGAAAAGTAGAAGTGTTCAACTGCTTTCCACACATCCAGGGGAACCTTTAAGCACAGGAGCCATCCGCTGCTGCACCTATAACTTGTAGGAAAACAACCAGCAGCTCCACGTGTGCAAAAGGAAATACTGTCAAACTTCAGCTCTGGGACACGAGAGTTTCACGAGCCCGCATCTCTTTCCTGTACAGTACAAACCACCTACTGACTCAGCTTGACAGTGACCTCTACTTGTCAGCAAAGTTTATCATCTCACGGGAACGTCCCTGTCAGGGAAAGTTTTCCTCTCAGCTCCATTTAGCAGTGCTCTCTCTGCACTTCACTCATCTCAGACTTAACCCTGCCCTGGGCACACAGGACCCTGTCCCAGATTGGCACCCTGTGCCAGATCTCTCACAGAGCAGGACAGGCAGCCTCTGTGTGGTGTGGGGCTGACCCCAGCTGAGACATGTAACGGCAGCACAGGCAATCACACCACCACAGTGTGGCCAGGCACTATTTTAATTCAAGTATGTCCTAAAGGAAGGAAAAAAAAAACACCAAAAAACAGCTTTTAATGCTTTAAGAGGAACACGACTGGTATTTTGTTAAAATAATTATAATAATAATTCAATATCTAACCACACAAGACCTCTGAACAAAGTTCTCCAGCACGAGTACCTCTTTGCTTTTAGAAATATGAAATTGAATCACACCAGGCAAATAGAGATCATAATAAAAGCGTGGGATTTTAGGCATTTTATTCCTATGGTTCACTGCTTGGTAAAAAGCCATACTCCATAACGCCAGCAGGGATTTCCCAGGGCACCAGTAAATCATGTTATTTAGAACAGACAGAACAGAGGGATTGGAAGTTTAAAATCAAAGCTACTTTGTTAATTCTGTTACTTGTAAGCTACACCCAGCTGCAGAGGCCTTTTCAGCAACAGAACTTCCCCAGATGGAAATACTCACCCACACACAGGATGTTGAAACAAAACCCATGATTAACTGACTTATTAACCAGCTGGTCAGGCAAACTGTCAAATCCTACGTGTCCAGAAAGGGGCACAGTACGACAGCCTTCACCCTGAAATGCAAGGAAAAATACACAATTGGTGTCATTCTCATGCAAAATACACTTCTCTCTCCACACCCTGCAGACCTCCCAAGTGCAGCCAACTACACAGTCCGTGCACAGATTTTACATACACTGTAAATCTTGCCTGTGCACGCTGCCCTTCTCCAAAACAAACCCAAACAGCACACATAAAACACCCCATCTGCCTTATACGAGATGGTAGCCGTGCCAGAACAATATTGAACTGTGCAAAGCGTTCAATGCTCAAACATGACGGTCGGAAGAGAGGTGGACAAACGTTTGTTCCCTGAGTAATTATTGAGAGACTCAAGTCTCACCTTATGCTGAAAACAAAAAATAATCTCCACAGCAAAGGAAGGTATTAACGATGCCTCCTCACATGAGCCTATTACAATTCACATTACAGCTATGATTACAGAAACAAGCTAGCAACAATGAGGAAATCTGTACCTCCATCTGGTATCTGAACAGCCCAAACACGGCTCTTGCACAGCTCGCTGCTGCAGCACACAGCAACACAGAATGCAGCCTTTGAGCTGCCAAACACAGCAGTTCCCTCCCCTCAGGCTGCAAGCCCGAGCCTGTTCAGATTCATAGGACAGCCATGAGCACCAGGAGATGTGGAGACTGCTGAAGAAAGCACAAGGGGGGTAGTCTGCAAGGCCAGGCAGTGCCACAACCCTGCCGATCTGTGCTTGTCTCACGTTCTCCTCCTGCAGCCCCCAGAAAGGTGTTTCTCTCTCCAGATCAAAAGCTCTTTTCTTAATAAGCTATTCAGGGGCCAAAGGTAGAAAATTCCCCTCCAGCCATTTAGGCACATCATCGGCTCACATGAGATACTACAGCCATAAGGCAACTGTTCATAGGGGTATAATTCTCAATTTATTCCTTCAAAACCCTGCTTTAACGTAAATAAACCTGTTTGTAGGGACAAGCGTGCTGTTTTTCTTTGCTAACTACACCAGTGTTTCAGGCTAGAAAAACATCTCCAGGGAGTGCATTACTCCAGCAGGCTGTCAAAGCACCAGTCCTTGTGTGATTGCTGGTTTGCTGGTGCAGCTTTATTCCCCCAAATGTGAAAATCCAAATAGATTTCAGTCATTAACTGTATCTACAGCCTTGCAATGTGTAACTGTGTTTCCCCACAGCCATATTTTGTCTATCAGCCCGATTCTTCCTGCCAAGATGCTCACCCAGCACCAGCACTATGCCTCCAGACCTTACTGAGCAGCTTTCACCCAAACAACAACGCAGTGCTGGAACGTGTGTGGGGCTGTTCCCTCCCTGGAAAGGGAGTGCACTGCCCCACTGAAGGAGAAACAGGAGGACAGGGCCTGCAGACAGCATCCTTCCTGCGGATGGAGAGCCAGCACGAGTATCTGTAATACACAGCCCTCAACCTGCACGCTGGAAGGCAGTCTGAACGCTGCTCTCTCCAGGAAGCGTGGGTGGCTGTGTGGGCTCTCATTAAGAACAAATCTTCTCCACAGCCCTAAATATAAGCGCTATCCAGATGGAAAAGAAAAATAAACAGTCAAAGTTAAACTACTCTGGCTCGGAGGAGGCATTTACCCCGCGAGTCATTTCCTGTGCACTCCTCTTCTCCTCACCTGTGGTTTTATCATGCAGTTACAGAACCTTTCACATTTGTCTCAGGCCAGGAAACGAGAGCTGCAAAACGCGATTTTCGGTTGCAGCAGCTGAGCCACCATGTCAAACACAGCTATGTGGCACACACAGCTGTAGATGCCCCAGCCTGAAGCCTGCAAGGCCAGGACATTGCAAGAGCCTGTGTACTAGAAGCAGATATGGAGGTGTCACTGCTGCCCATGCCCTACCGAGTGTCAGATGGATGGCCAAGAGCTCTTGCACCTCCTCTGGCTTTGAGCTGGCCTGGCTGTGCACCAAAGGCAAAGGTGGGCAGTGGGAAGGCAGTGTGAGTGCCGGCACTGCCTCAAGATGCCCATACTGTGTTTTTCCCCACACGTGCAGAACGACCTCCGAGGAGAACAGGCTGTTATTGCTGAGGAAGCAGCAAAGTGTGATTAGATTAAAAGAACAAAAAGAGCAACATGTGCTCTTGCTGCACTGCCAGGCAGGGCTATCTCAGAGCAAAACTAAAGGTCGGCCTCGGGAATAATTTGTTTCATTTCTCCATCTCTGGAGGATTTTCACATCTTTTCTGAAGGCTCCTCCACGCCACAGACACCACTGACCCAACTCCTACAGAGAAGTACCAGAACGATATAGGAAATGCAGAGATGCTATAACAGTGTACTCCAAGCCTAACAGCGCCTCACATTTAATAGCAGCTTACACAAAAAGCATAAGTTTCAGACTGCAGTTCTCTCAACCTTTACAGGGCCCTCAGGATGAACAGCCATGAGAGCAGTACCCAGACCCTTCTGCACCAGGGGGGTCCCACACCATTGCTCCAGAGCAGGACAGAGAAACCTGCCTGAGGCATAGCCGCCCACGAAGCCCCAGCACAGCACTCAGCATGGCTGCTGCTGCCTCTGCTGAGAACCAGGCCGGGAATTCCTGCACTGCAGCAGGGCTGCCCACACCAGGAGGCAAACAGCAGATCCCGAAGCCGGGAGGGTCCCCAGCCCTGTCCATACAACAGCTTTTCAGATCGCATTTAAACAAGAACAGCATCAGATCCCTTCCCCTGACGTTGGCCTTGTGGCATCCTCTTCCCCAGACTGCATTTGGCTCCAATTCAACAACAAAGCAGAGCAACGCTCGTACCAATTCATTCTCGCATGTTCAGGTCCGTAATTCTCTCTTGCAATTACCCAGCAGACAGCGATGACGCTCTCCATGAAACAAACGCAATACACGAACGTCAAGCACAGGTAAAGACTTTGCATTTCTTTCCCTCGCTCAACTGCTAACAGCCCAGCAGGACGAGCACAAAGGAAGAGCAAAAGAGAGTGGGAGCAATGGACCGCATCCAGCCAGCCACCGAAGGGCCGAGCACCGCCCGCTCTCAGGCGCACCGCATCACGCGAGCGCTTCCGAAAACCGCCGTTCCGACCGCCTTTGGTTCCGTTCCTCGACGCCCGTGCCAAAGGGCCGCGGGTCGGGGCTGCTCCCGGGAGCGGCGTTCCCCGGCGATGCCGGCACACGGCCCTGCCCTGCCGCACGGCCGCACGCCGCTCCCCCAGCCCCGCACCGCGGTGCGGCACCGGACGCAGCACAGCCCCCCGGGGCTCCCAGCGGGGTGGGCGGGCACAGCTCCGCGGAATGAGACCCCAGGCCCGCACGCACACACCGACACGGACAGACACACCGACACACAAACACGTGCGGTCGGACACTCTCTGTACGCGGACTCTGCGGAACCCCGCACCGTTCCCGCGCCACCCGCGGAAGGGCCCTCCGCAGCCGTACGGACGGGCGCTGCGCGGTACCGCCGCTCCCCCTACGGGAGCCCCGAAACCCCCGAGGGCCGCCGCTCGAGCCGTCCGTCGCCCGCGGCCCTGCCCGGGCCGAGCCGCTCTCACCTGCCGCGCCACCTCGGCCGCCGCCATCGCTGCCCGCCCGCCACAGGGCCCGCCCCGCCCGGCCGGGCGGCTCCGGACGCGCCCACCGCGCCGCCTCACGGGGGTGGAACCGCCTCGTCGCCCCGCGCCGCGAGCCCAGCCCGCGCTGCGACCGCGCGCCGCGACCCCGCGCCGCTTTCGTGCTCGGTACCGCCGGTCCCCGCGCCGCCGTCGCGCTGCGGGAGGCGAGGGGTTACGGTTCCCCCCCGCGGCAGCCGGCGGTGGCGCGGACCGGGCTGCGGGCGGGGCCGGGCGGAGAGCGGCGGCGCCGCGGTTGGACGCCGTGGGGAACGGCGTTAGGGAGGGGGAAGGCGGGGCTGCCGGCGCTTCCCGTAGCGCAGTGTGAGAGCGAGGACGGGTATCGGCCGCGTGCGGTGCTGGAGGACGGCGATGAGGAGCGGAGTAGGTCCCACGGCTCTGAAGGAAACGGTGAGCGACCTGCTGCTCCAGCTGGGCTGCCGCGCTCCCGGGGCTGCGGGGATCCGCCGCACGGAGCTGAGCGAGCGGGCAGAAGCGATTGCCGAGCCGTTTCCCATCTTCTACCAGCGGTCCTTGCTCAGCTGGGGGGCCAGGCGGCTGCAGGCTGCTGATGCGACACCGCCACAGGGAGGGCTGGGGAACCGCAGGCCTGTCAGCCTGCCGTCGGTGCCAGGGAAGGTCAGAGAGCGTTTGGAGTGCAGTCGCGCGGTGCTGCACGAGAATACCGGGGAATCGGGTCCAGCCAGCATGACTTCCCGAAAGGCAGGTCCTGCCTGACCAACCTGATCTCCTGTGACCGAGTGACCTCCTGGTGCATGAGGGAAAGGCTGTTGTTAAAGTTTCCTAGACGTCAGCAAAGCCTTTGACGCTGTCTCCCATGGCATTCTCCAGGAGAAGCAGCAGCCTGAGGCCTGGACAGGTATGCTCTCTGCTGGGTGAGGGACTGGCTGAGGGCTGGGCCAAGAGTGGTGTTGGATGGAGTCACATCCAGTTGGCAGCTGGTCACAAGTGTGGCTCTCCAGCATGGCAGTACTGGGGCCCAGCCTGTTCAACCTAGATGAGAGCACTGAGTGCACCATCAATTAAGTTTACAGATGACACCAAGTTGGCTGGAGGTGTCGATCTGCCTGGGGGCAGCAAGGCCCTGCAGAGGGATCTGGACAGGCTGATTGCAGGGATGAGCTTCAAGGAGACCAAAGTGCTGCTCTTTGGTCACAACAACCCCAGGTTTGGGGCAGAGTGGCTGGCAGGCTGCACAGAGGGAAAGGATCTGGGGGCGTGAGGTGACAGCCAGCTGTGAAGGCTTGAAGCGTTTGATGTGTGGAGACTTGGGGGAGAATTCAGCCCAGCTAGGCACTCACAACTCTGAGAACTCCCCAGAAAAATACTGCATGGATGCAGCCTCACACCCCTGCAAATGGTTGATTCCCAAACTTTGTCAGATGGCCATTTGCCTTCTTTGCAGCTCTCAGCAGCAGGATGGGCTTTGCTAGACACATCCAGCAGCACTGCACCATCAGCCTGCCGAGCAGAGGTGATGGCTGACAACAGACCTGCCCTGGAGAAGGGGACAGTGCAGCCCACGTGGGCTCAGTGCTAAGTCGCCTCCTTCTGCAGTTCCCTGCAGTAAGTCAGTGACTATCAGAGGCTCTGGTGGAGAATGCAGGATTTGGGGAGCTTAAGTGCTGACTTCAGTTTAATTCCTTCTCCCCCTTCTCCCTTTGAGTAATTTCTTAATGCCATTCTGCTGACAATGTTTTAAATTAAACCGCACCTGTGGTTGGCATCAAGACAACTTCATAGAGCAGTAAGAGCTCTAAGCAACACAAAGCAGGTTGTTCCACATTTAGGGGAATACACAGACATTACGCATTACAGCCTATCCATAGAGCACAGATTTTCTAGGAGATAAATCTCTCCATTGTCCTTGATGTATTTTTCCCTCTTTCTCCTTTCCAACCTCATAAATGAAACTCTCAGCTATGCTGAACCTGCTTCCCCACCAGGATCCAAATCTCTTGCTCCAGGAGCTGCTCTGCTCCACGATGTACCCAAGAGCTGCTCCTGGAGCCACGGACGCTGCAGGTACAGCTGTCTCCCCTGGATGACTTGTGGTATGAGGTGAGATCCCTGCAAGTCTCCCACATCACAGCCTGGGCTCCCAAAGGGCCACCTGCAGCTCACATGGGCACTTGTCCAGGGCAGGCTTTGCAAGCACACTGCTCAGGCCCAGGGCAGGCAGTTACAAAATACAAATCTCACTGACCACTCAGCTTCACATTCACACACTGCCTGGACAAGTGCCTTCATTGTTCTTCTGGGCATGTGACATTTCAGCATCTGACCAGTATGGACTGCATGGCCCTTCCTGTTCATCTGTGCTATTTCATCAATTAAAAATAAAACACAAGAAAAGCAACCAATCTGAATAGCAACAACAGGATCCCAGTAGGCATTACTGTGTGGTCTACCTGCAGATGTTCAAAGGGTTATGTGGGACGTAACAGCGGAGCTGGGAAGAAGCAGTGGCTGGCTTCTGTCACAGGGGACATCCGTACATCTGTGTCAGCATAAATGGAACTGAGAAAGGGAACTGGAGAGCTTCACACAGGAGGCCACCTTATCCCAGAGGGCCCTTCTCAATGTGCTTTGCAGCTCCATAAAGTAAAACCAGAGGAGGTGAACGGACACAGCTTCAACAAATGGTGACAGTGCTACTTTTTTGTAGTAACATTGCCTAAAACTACCCAAAATGTAACCCCGTCTTCCCCAGTCAACAAATCAGAGACTGACATTGCACACACGTCAGCCACAGCAGCTGTGGGTCACGAAGCCTTTTTCAAACTTGTGAATGTCCTCTGCCTCCAAAAGCCTCTATTTTTTTCCCCCCACTATCTGTCTAATAATATTTTCTCCAGACTAACTACTGTAAAATCAGCTTTGTTTTTACCCCTTTTCTTTAAGAACTGGTGTGTTTGGTGCTCTGCAATTTACAATAACTGAGAAGACATCGCCTCACCTGGCCGGAAAGAGCTGGTGAGGTTTTCTACACTACGTAAGAATGTGTCTGCAGTAACACTGCCTTTCTGTGCTACCATCCCACTGTACATACACAAAATCAGCCACTTCATTCAGGTCCATATTTATTAACAAGCCTGAACACTGTTAATACTTATGATGCCTGAAAGAAAGAACACTAATAGAACACAGTCTTCATGTTTCAGATGCCAAATGCTTTGAGATTCCCGTTAATAGCATGAACCTGCACTGGCTCATGGAACAAGAACTGAGCACTGCAGTCCAGCACTACAGAAGGAATGACTTGAGGGTTGTTGATCAGCGTTTGGGGTGTATCAATCTGATGCAGAAAGACAAGTGCTATTAGAGCTCCCAGGAACAGTCTCTCTTACAAGCCCAGTTTGGTCCTTCTCCAGTGTCTCCTTTTGGAGTTGTACCTAAGACAAAAACAACGTCAGTTAGCAAAACGCACACAGCTGACCATCCAGGTGGACTGAAAACACCTTCAATTAGCTCATCAGTGAAGGATTTCTACCATGCTACCGTGGCAGGCTGCCAACAAAAATCAACTGTACTTTTCTTTTAGTTTAAATTCCCATCTGTTTACTTTCTTCATTTGCTAACCAATTAGCACAGCACTGCAGAGAAATCTAAAGGCTTGAGAAAGAAACAGGTCTTAGAAAAAGATGCATTAGCACGTGAATGTTCTCCCCCCTCTTTTGGAGACAAAAAACCCCACGTACAGTCTGCCCAATTATCATGAAACTTATTTCCTGCATGCAATTTGTAGCCTAAGACAAATATAATCATTTTTGATGACGAGCTGTGTATGGAAAGTACACTCTTCTGGGAAGCTGCATCAAATCACTGATAATGTATGTCCATTTATGAGCCACAGGTGATGTTCATGTTAAGGACAAACAGTTTCACCACCATACAGGTAAAACCAAAGACAGCATTAACAGAATTACTCTCAGCAGGAAAATGGCAGTACTCCCACAGAATGAAGCACTGCAATTGCAGCCTGCTATAGCACACAGTTTGGAAGGTAGCTGAAGCACTTAAGTGCCACAAGACAAAAATTAAGAGATCTTGCTGCATAATAAAATATTACAAAGCAATGTAATACAGCGAAAACAGAAGCTCTTTTTATGCTGGTAACTGAAAGACAAGGAGCACACAATGCTGATTTTCCCAAAAGGAAAAGAGGTAACAGAAGCAAAAGGAACTCAGCAATTCTGTGCTGCCTCACTGCCGTAGCCAGCTGCTGGTACCACCATTCTCCTCACTACAGAGGAGAAAAAAGGATCTGGGAGAAAAAATCCTACTCTCCTATGAAGTCTGAGCAGCAAAGCATGTGGGCTACACAATGAGCTGGCTGCGCAGCAATTGGACTGGCTCACACTGGCACCATCTTTTGCACAGCTGGCCTTTACCTGGGAAGCTGCAATACTCCCTTACTGCGCTTTCTTGAATGTAATGCTTGAAAACAAGTGCTATAGGCAAAGAAAAGGAAACTACTGCAAATTAGTTTCAGTCACAAATCAAGCACTTTATATTGTCGATTTCATCTCCCTTACACACCCGAGGAGACCTTTGTTCTTTATGCACCTCAGAACAGCTGTGCTCTGTATGTTCTGTAAGGCGCTGCTCCTTGAGACGCAGCAAGAGAGGGAAGGCTGTTGGAGAGAGGAGGAGCTGGAAGAGGAATGTCAGGAGCAGAACGGCTGCTGATGTAACATTCTGGAATAATTCTTCCACAGGTACAGCTTATGCTTTCAGTTTCAATTAAGTGACCGTTAATTAAAGTTGGCTCATCTCAACAGCTGATTTACACCCATAAATACTTACAGAACACAGAAATGAACTCGAGAAGGAAAAGCTGGGAGCCCCAAAGTCGGGGAAAAAAAAAACCCAAAACAAAACAGAACCGAACCTGTGGATATGCGCCCCACGCACACCGTGTGAGAGCTGCATCCGTGCGCCACGGCGCTGCGGAGCGCTGCCGGAAC